TCATCGGCTATTGTGAGCTATAGAATCATTATGTTGGCAACAATTTTAATTCTGGGATGAATAAAGTGGGGGACACAAATGATATGATATCCCCCGACTTTAACAAGTGGGGAGGGAGGACTTGTCCCCCCATCCCCCACCGATTGATGCCCATGGATACTCAAGTCTGTTGTGTAGACAACAATAAACATATAAAAAGAGGTAAAAAATGAACCGACAGAAATTGGTTTTGGAAAGTAGTTTTGTTTTGTTGTGGGTTTTATTTTCCTTCACTTTCTTTTTATTTATCTACATTTTAGCTCGTGTGCAGTTGGTGTTTTACATGCATGTATAGCATTCAACAGCACTACACTTGCATACAGTGTAGTTCATTTAAATTATATTCATCATAACAAAACTTGTTATTTCTTTCAGTGATTCAGCTTCAGCAGTGCTTTGTTACACAATTTCCAAAACTCACATTTTTAAGGCTTTCTCTTTTATTGCATCCCAGTTCAGTTCATTCAGCACTATTTTTGAATATTCATTCATATTTTGTGCCTTCCCCAGGCTGATTGGTCCATTGCTGAGATGAATGCTGAGATGGGGGAGAGCCATGCCCACCTCTACACATCACAGACTGATAAACAGGTATGTTCAGCTATATGTGGTTTTAAATCAGTCTATGGTTGCTCAAAAAGGGTGAGGCTTAAAATCATAGCATCAGAAAGAACCTGTCACATTTTTTTCCGTCCTAGTTTCTTGAGGCCCACAACAAATCTGTCAAGATACATGTACTTGAGAAATCGATCATTACAGTGGAGTGCCGCGATATCGAAAATCGCGGGATCCACAGAAATTGTTTGTAATAGCGATCATTTGGAACAGCGATTTTAAGCTCCCGGTGCTCTGGTACTCACTTTTCGAAAGATAGCGCCCTTAACTTCACTATGCATGCCCTGGTAGTTACTGAAAGAGGAATTTACTGAAGTTACTGAAACACGTGCCAACTATTGAATTATGTACCTGGTAATTACACAGTTTTGAGCTTACTACCTACAGGAATGGGTGGCTTTTCCCTTCTATTCCTTGGAGAAATAATAGCCACCTGTCACTCTTCTGTTGATATTTTTCAACAACGGTGTTCGATACATTTTGTGCAAAAAAATCGGGAGTCAAGGATGATGTTCAGTATAGCCAAATGTTTGGTATAGCAGTGTACGGTATATCTGAACTCCACCGTGTATCAGTTATTCATTTTTTTGTAGTGTGGAAATAGAAAACAACTTGTTGAAAACTATCATGTTCCTTACTAAACACAAGAGCAAGTGCATAATTTCTCAATCCAAAAAAACTTAAAAAACAAATTTCACAAAAAAAATTATCACAAGGAATTATAAGACAAATTGCACAAGGACATTTTCAAAAATATTAAAATCAAACAATGAGTCTGACATTCATAAGTTTGTGACAGGATTGAAGAAAAACTAACAAAACACATGAGGCTTCTTTGTGCTATGGAAATGATTCTTTACTTGTGTCTGAATGTGAAGGGGGGGGGCTGAAACTCATAAGGGTATTGAGACGTAGTCTTGTCACATTTTTTTCTGTCCCAGTTTCTTTAGGCCCACAACATTTTGCAATTATTGAAAAATTGTTCATTATATCAGTTTAATCAGTTTCTTTTTCAGTTTCATTATTAAATATAAAAAAGAAATTGTTGAAAACCATCAGGTTCCTTTCTAAACACCAGAACACAAACATACTTTCTCAAACCCAAAATCTTGAAAAAATAAACACTCACAAAACACTGTCACATATCGGACATCTGGCATAATGCATTGGTGATCGTGAGGTCTCAGTCAGCGTACAATTTGACTTGATGCAATCCCTCGTCACAACTGCATGCTTGTTGATGATGCCACTCCAGACTGTGTATGTGGTCCCTATACAAGATCTCTGTATGAAGTCTCTAATGAGGATGATTTTATCCAACCGAAGAATGACCAAGGAAATTCTGATCCAGGAGAATGTAAAATGAGTTCTTGACATTGTCAGCAGCAGCCTGATAATTTTGGCCAAATGTTTAAAAATTCAAACAGCACGAAATAATGTGCAAAACTGTTTACAAAACTAAACACGGGTGACTATTTTTACAGTATTTTATTAGTAAAATTCTCCCCCTCCCTTCTCCCCCAGGTCCCAGGCCCATGACCATGATGATTCTAGCTCCTGGGGTTCTGACACCAACATCCCCTCTAGAAGGACCAAGACCGCGTGGTCAGCGATGCCGAGATGTGACACATGACGCTCACCAGACCGGCTAAGGTTGGTGCTTATTGAGTCAGTCACTACCGAACGCCATTACCACACTGCAAAAACAGATAGACAAGCAAGACCCTGTGGAGGAATTCAAGCTGACTCTGAAGTAAAAATTTGGCTCAAGTGAATATTTCAAGAATATTTCAACTCACAACTTTAAAAGTCTAAAAATAAAAAGTGCATGAATTTCTGTTGTGTATAGAATTTCAAGTGAGGATATCAGGTCGTCCCATTTTCGTATCTGCAAAACAGAATGTATCAGAATACAAGGTCTTTATTTCAGTCAATTGTTACCGACAACGAACAAAATTTTGCACTTGATCAGCAATAGCTAAATGTCTTACCAGACAGTTTTGCCAAAAATGTTTCGTTGAGTCAGTGAAATGTGACTCACCAGTGACATGTCCCTGATGTCTAGTCTGAGTCATGAGTTGAGTCATGAGAGCCGAGTTTGAGTCATCAGCCATTGTAACTTGAAGTGAAGTCTGAGAATTTGCAACTCAAGTCAAACTCAAATCTGAGTCACAGACTCGGTTCTATATTTCTGCCAATTACTGGTGTATGGCTATGTTGTCCATGCGCTTGCTGAAGAATGAATACGCGAACGATTAAGTCAGCCAAAGATAACTAAATTCGTCATTGAAGTCTGAGCTAGAGAGAGGAAAAGCAATGTAATGTGTGTTGTCTGTCAATTTGTTCACTTTGAAATGTAGGTGCTATATGAAATGTCAGTGGCAGTCAACTGTGAGGAAGCCAAGAAGCCTGTCTGCAAAAACAAGAACAGATTCCCCAATGTACTTCCATGAACAGGTAAGTTCATTTTGTAGAAATTACTATACTTTTGCCTCAAGAGTGGCCTCTTGAGGCAAACGCTTGTTAACAGTACACACCCACTGCATTGTGAATTGTTCTCAATTGTAGGGGGGATGGGTGCTAAGGTAGTCTAGGTAATATCCCCTTGTACAGTAAGGATATATGATATCCGAGAGATTCGTCGATTATTATGCAAAACAATACTGCGTCGAATTGACCTCGAGACCATTCAGCAGGCGCCTTCTATATTTGTTCTTAAATCCGTTGTCATGAACATCTAATGAAACCTAGACACGACATCTATTATTCTTTTACGTCGGAACTATGTTAGCAAATTAGGCTGTGTCACATGGGCTGTAACGATATGTTACGTGATGCTAAGGATGTGATGTTTACGTGTTCAATTAACGAAAAAAATTGCAAATCCGTTTGCCTATTTTCCAAAACATGTAGAATCAAACCTGAAATATGAAAAAAATGACATTCGTTTATGCAAGCTGCCTTTGACTTGTACATATATATATTTATTTCGCAAATTAACAATGTTTTTAATCTCATTTAATCTACAAAGTATTAGAAGAACCGCACAACTTGATTACATTTTGGGTAGTTGAGTTTGTACATGTACAAATGTATGTTTTCAATAGCTGCCTGCTATAATCTATTGGGCCAATCATACACAATATAAACAGTTTACTATTGAGATATTTTCAATGCCCCAGTGTTCCCCCTAAAATACTGTAAATCTGAGTGTGTCTTGACCTTTTCCACACAAGAAAACGCCGATGGCATTCCATTTTCATTGTATCCACCTTTTTAATAGAAAGTACTGTTCTTAAGTCTTTGAAAAAACAAAAGCCAATGAAAAATAACATTATCCTTTTACTTACAAAAACCTTCCAACCCTACTTACGCCTCTGGTACCTTTAGAATGTTACCTTAAGTTCCCCCCTCAAAAAATTGGTGAACCCCAAGGTGCCCCCTAGAAGCTTTATCCTAGTTGCACTACTCGTACCTTTAAAAAGTTCCAGATGCTGATTGCTAAAATAACAGATTTGGGATCTTTGCTGAAATGTCATTGTTGTCATGGAAGCTGCGTTCTCTTGGAGAAATGTTCTGTAATTAAAGCAAATGCTCATTGCTTCATTTAGACTACTTGGTCTATCAGCATTTAGCAAACCAATACTTATTCAAAGAAGCAAAAGCCTCAATCCTTTATGGAATAAACTAAACTATTATTGTAATGTTACAGAACCTCTCACAAGTAGGTCATTTTATACATTAAGGGTCCAAAGTCGGACATTTTTCCTGTCCCTGTAACCTCCGAAATTTATCATTTGCCATTCAAGTGGCATTTCAAATGACTTCAAACTAATTAATATTTGTTGGGTAGGTCATTTGATTCACAGAAGCATTCTTGGAGAAAGAGTACACACATTAGAGTCTACAAAATTGTAGATGCCAGACGTATAGGGACAGGAAAAACTGGACCCCAAATTCAAAGAATGTTCTAAATGCATCTTCTATTGTAGTATGTAAACAATCACATATGAGAAAGGCAGAACAAAATATTTCAATTTACAAATGTACATCCATCATACCAACCACATTTGCAAACATCCATGTATCATTGCAGTAGAATGCACAAGGTTTTCATTTTCAACTTGGTTGTAAATGTAATAAAACTAATATTAGTTTGATGATGCACTCGGAAAGCACTGTAAAAGAGACAACCAAGGGATTGCATATGATTTACTTTGAAACTATCACTTTAGTTCAAAATCACATATTTTGTTCAGTTGCTTTTGAGTATTTACTTTTGTCTCATGTACACGGAGGTGCAAAATCTTTCTCATTTGAAACTAAGTTGTGTTTTTTTTAACTCAACAATTTTCCCCATAATTGGAAATATTGAATAACAAAATCCAAGGAAATCTTTACATTTCACAAAGGAGCAGGGTTATATCTTATACTTTTAAAACACATCATGCATTGACTTTGCATTTGCTGAGATGAAGCCGAAAAAAATTGAATTGCCTCTCGTGGTAATATTTTCCCTCTCGTTTTTTAATAATTTTAAAATGTGCAATCTGCCCTATTTGCAAACAATGTGAAGGGTCATTTCTTTGCTGTCATTATTGGGCCCCCAGATCTGTGATTTTATAGGAAGTAGCAAGTAGAGTGGGTGTTGAAGTCCAAGATTTTTTAAAGGGGAAGTGGTTGAGGTATGAGAGTCAACACGTACGGAGAGCAAATACCTTAGAAATAAACCAAATATAGAGTATTATTGAATGCCTTATTCGAGGGATGAACTTCAAGGTTCTTTTCAGTGATAATTAACAATATTCAATGTCTGATGGAAGTGGTTGGTGGATACACTGGATAGCCCAGTTTAATTAATATGTCCTTACACTCGGTGATAGACCTTTACAGACTGTCCTGCAGCCACTACCAGATCACCATCTGATGTGAATGTGATGCCACGTGGAGAACCACATCCCTTGATGACACATCCAATGTACTTGCCATCAGGACTGTAATGCAGAATATCACCTGTTGGATGTCCGCACACAGCAACATAGATGCTGCCATCACTGTCACAGCACACACCAGTAGGGAACAAACCCCTCTGCATACTGGTCATGTCTACTGAGAATACACTGGCACCATAGTAGTCTACACATAACAACATTTTGTTGAACCATGTTGGGTAGCATGAGTAGATAAGGCACTGATTGTACATTGTCAGACAATTCGCAATCCTAGGAGCAGGCAGTCTCCTGATGAGGGATCCATCTGGGTTGTGTAGAGATATCTCATTCTTGCCTTTGTAACCCACTGCTATCAGATTGCTGTCATCCACTGCAAGGCATGTTGGTTGGCTGTCTGACCCTCTACCTGGTGTGAACTGATGGAGGAGCTGATGTTGCTTGTTGAAGACCTTGACTACTGGACCATCTAGAGCAAGGAGCTTGTCATCCTTGCTCACTGCAATACACATGACATCAGTGAGGCCATTGATTTGCAGCCTTTGTGGAATTGGAGTTCTCTCATGTTGACTTCCCGGCAGTGAGACTGTGATGATTGGATGTATGGTAGGTGACATATTGGTTTTATGGAATAATATGTTTGATTTAATAGAGAGTGCCATAACTTTATTGTTAGAGAGTGCTTCAACATGTGTTATAAATGCATTTGGTAATTCAAAGTTCTTGACTTCAGTCTTCAGTTCCCATTTCTCCTTCACACATGATCTTGCAGGTCTTAGCTTTAGCTTTTCTGCAGCCCGTGGCTCCTCCAGAATGAGTCTCCCAAGTGACCTCTCACCTTCTTCAAAGTCCATGAAGTTAAAGTTGTCAGGAACTTGCTGTGGCTGTTTCCCTGTCAATTCACTAAGGTTATGCAAGAGCTTCTGCTGAAGTTCAAGAATCTCGTAGCAACTTGCTTGATTCATGAGTTGTTTGACCTCCTCCAGCTTGTGCTCTGTCTGTGACACCTCTTTGCTGTTGGTTGCTTGAGCAGCTTCAAGGGCTTTGAGTTTGTCTTTATAAATCATGTCTGTTTCTTTCAACAATTTCTGTTCTTCCTTTTGGATCTTTGCAATCTCCTGCTTGAACTTTGTAATCTCTTGTTGAGCCTTTTTGGAGATTTTGTTTTGAGTGTTGGCAAACATGGTGTCCAGCTTTTTTTGAGATTTGGAGGTCTCTTCTATGGTTGTGCTCAATTCTGTTTTTCTGCTCTCACTTTTTTGAACCATTTCTGTGACCTTCTTCTTACATTTCTCTGCAGCCTCAGTTAATCCAATGAGTGAGTGTTTTGCATGATCAAGTACAGAGCAAGTTGTGCATATGATTTGCTCACATAAGTTGCAGTAGACATTCAGATTCTGATCTGGATGCTTGCCACATTTGGGAACTTCTTCTCTAAGTTTACTCTTGTAGACAATCTCTCCTGAACGAAGTTGAGCCATTGTATAGATTTTATGAGTTTTCATGACAGTCATACGTCCATGTGCCTTTTGACAATCTTGACAGAGGAAATGATCACAGTCCATGCATCTTGAAATTGCCTGATTTTCCTCATCACAGGCTTGACATTTGATCTCTGACCCTTGACCTTCCAGTAGCTTTTTCTGCATTGTAACTTCCTCCACCAGGGCACTGAATGCAAAGTTATTAGGGAGATCAGCAACCCCAGACCCTTTCAACATGGTTTCACGTCTGCATAGAGGACATTGCAGCTTTGTACCGGTACCACTAGGATCTTGGCTCTGTCTCAGACCGTGGAGGCATTGCAGACAAAAACTATGCAAACAGTCCAGCAGTTTGGGCTGCCTGAAATGGTTGGTGCAGATGGAGCATTCTAGATGATCCACACTAATCTTCTGCAACACTGATTGAGCTGTGACATTAGATGCCATCTTGACCACTTGATGAGACACGTTTTTTGTTGAACCTATATGAATGGATAAAAGTATCAAAAGTTGACTTCAATATGAAATGATCCACTCCCACATTGTCAACATGTTTTGTTTCCTCTGTTCTTGGGTATCAATTGTAGCCCACTATTTTATATATTCAGTACATATAAATCCAGAGTGCATTGGGTGGCCCCACTTTCTGAAGGGGACACTTAGTTCTTAACAGTACCTCCTTACCTGTTGGGTAAGGGGGCGGGGTCAGAGTGGGATGCATGGCCCTCCCCCTTTTGGTGGTCATTCAATTCAATTCAACATTTGTTTCAACCATTTACCAAAACACAATTCAGTGCATGTATATTAAGGGTAATATGTATTTCATTTCATTTTATTTGCCATTTCTACTGTAAGAACACAGACAGACACACAATACAATACAAACACTTTAGGTAACAGGCCAGTGTAACGCAGACTAAACAAAACCAAAAGACCCAGAAAAATATTGATAACACCCCTGAAGGATTGCCAAAAACGAACTTAATCACTATCTGGTGGCTTTCCTGGAATGCTATCAAGTACAAAGAAAACAATTAACAAGCATACCTATGTATAAAATACCAATCCTGGGAAATATATATATTGCTGTTAGCAACAACAAAAGTTAAGACCAGGGTTGGCGATTTTTATTTATTTTTCGATTAAAAAAAAAAATAACAAAATCGGATTTATTTGGTTTAAAATTAAATCATATTTTGTTAATTTGAATCAGATTTTTATTTTATTTTTTTAACTTTCAAATTGTTGGTATGTCTAAAAATGTGTCTAAATCGCCCCTTGCACCTTTACACCCATCACTTATAATAACCAACATCCACAAAACCCAATAAATTGGTAAATGCTTTTGATTTTCATTTTTTTTTATTGAATCAGTGATTAAATAAAATTAACTTGATTTCATCTACATGTAATCTCCATCAGTTCAATGGTACGTTAATACTGAAGACACTTACAAAAAAAATATTAGTACAGCTCTCCATGGGCTTGCTGATTTCATAAAAACCCGCAGCACTGATCCTTGTGTAACTTATAGTGTTTGATTGATGATCCTTCATACAAGTTGGAAAACAGAAATCAGGCCTTGCACCTTTAAAAGGGATTATATAAATCTCAATCTAAAAGTGTTATGGAGAAACGTTAGGAATAAGACTATCAATTAGGACTTTAATATTGTTGATTCAAAATATTACTGTAAACATATCAATGGATGGTCTAAGCAAACGTGAGTGTGCTGTCTTTAAAATTCAAACTTTGAAGAAAAACTTTTAAACTTGGATCTTGACTTTCAATGAAAACAATGATTTTGGGTAAAAATGATTATGCAAACCTACATAATGTAAGTTGAGTCCATGCTGATGAAGTACATTTAGGGGTGTTTGAATGTGTTATCAACATTTAACACTTTGTAATTAAGTGGAATCAGTGAATTTAAATGATTTGACCCTCAATTTATTTTGCCAAATCAAAAATTGATTAAAACTTTAACAATTGATTTAGTTAGCCTTCATTTTTACCACAAGTCCACAACCACAAGAATGAGCGTTAATAATTTTTGTTTCTTTTAACCCTCTTTCTCTCCCAACACAAGGATTCAGTAAATTTTGTCAAAATTGATCTTTTTTGTTTGTAAAGTATGTTTTGGAAAACAACAATGGAAAAATAGTAGTTTCTCTTCTAAATTAATTGACAAAGGTGTAGAATGTGTTTTCCCCAGTATTCTTATTCGCAGTTTGGTTAATTAGCACAAAACAGTACTCTAATTACCACACTGGTTTAAATTGTTAAGAATTTAAATTTATTTCAATGTACCTGCACAGTTTCCCAAACGTTTAGATTATCTGAAAGTTTGAAACAAAAAGCTGTATCCTCTCTGAGTTATCTTGGCATTCATAAACACATTTATGGCTTACCCGTTGAACAAAGACAATTTCATATTGGGGAACAGCCAACATAGGGCTGGTCCGCAATAGTTCAGTTAGAAGAGTGTCAGTATGGTAATCCGCAGGTCATAGGTTCAACCCCCACTTAAAGTTCTTTGTTCAACTTATAAACTTTCATTTCAGATTCAGATTCAAATTTTGGATCAAGGATATTTTTAGTCCTCTCAAGGTAGACTGAACAGGGAAGTTTTTGTGCAAATCTAAGAGTATTATGCATTCGAGCATTGACTCTCTCTTTGGTAAGATCAATGCTGCACAAACTGGCATATTATTCCATGATTCTTAACAAATGTCATTAAATACACGAACAACATAAAATATATACACTTACCTGAATTGAAGTTAGTTTTAGAAAGCAATTTAGAATTATCCTTCTGGAAGATGTTGCAGTATCTGTAGTTTACACAGTTTGATGTGAATGCAATACACTGTACATGAACATGAATGTTGAACTATCATTACACATAGTGCTTAAATTCCCACTTCCGTGTAAACATGTCATGTACCGGATACTTTAATCACACATCCGGTGCAGGTTTCCTGTGTATAAATATCAGTCAGTGTTTCCATGACTCCGGTGACCCCACAAAAATGGAATCAGAAGACAAATGCTATTCGTGCAGTAAGCAGCCCTGGTGATTTTCAAATTTCAGCCTGAAAATAATGTTTTAGTGTTAATTTAGTTTTGTTCCTACAGCAATCTATTTGCTCACTTGGGTTGAAAAATAAATGGAGAATTTTTTTCTTTACACTCCTATTAAAAAGAATATATTTTGTTTAATCTATTTTTGTTCCATTGTATTTCGCCACCACCCAAAAAAGGGGGACCATAATAGTAAAAAAAAATAGAGGTAAAATAGGTTGCTATTAAAAAAATAGGATGCTGTTTTTAAATTACTGCCCAAACAATGGTTACAACTTAATATACACGTACATGTAGGGCATAGAAATCCATACGGCAGATGATCTCTCATGTTGGAAATGTGCGCACATGGCGGTAATGCAAAATCATTTGCATACATTTGATAAATGAGCATCTTTAGCAGTACACATACATGAAATGAGCAAATAAATACAACTGAATCAATTTAAGAAAGGATAATTGAAATAAAATAGACGAATAGTATGCAGTTTAAAAAATAGAAATAAAATAGGATGCATGGCCACCAGAAAAATAAGGAAAAAATAGTGCTGCTATACCTACTTATTTTGAATAGGATAAAAAATATATATTTTACCACTTTTCTTGCATAAAATCTTAAATAGAAATTAAATAGGATTCTACCAGATTAAGATCCAGATTCCTGAAAGAGTTAAAGAAATCTGATGGGGTTATACATGTATATCCCCATAAATGTCTGTAATGCTGGACTTCTTCCGTCGTGAGCTACATACATGCATGCAACATTTCCTTAGAAGTTATTTTTCCTGAATTTGAAATCTAGATGGATTTTTTCACTATATATTTTCTAAGGATGCTAAAAATATTGAAAATATTGAGGTATTCATAAAAAAAATTAAGATAAACTTATCAGACATCTGACATAATGTATTGGTGATCGTGAGGTCTCAGTCAGCGTGCAGGTTGGCTTGATGCAATCCATTGTCACAACTGATGCTTGTTTATGACACCACTCCAGACTGAATGTGGTCCCTGTACAAGATCCCTATATGAAGTCACCAAGGAGGATGATTTTATCCAACAGAGGAATGACAAGGAGATTCTGATCCAGGAGAATGTAAAATGAGTTCTTGGCATTGTCGGCAGCAGCCTGATAATGTTGGCTAAATGTTTAAACATTCGAACAACATGAAATATGTGCCAATTTGTTTACAAAAATAACCATGGGTGTCTATAGTTACGGTATTTTATCAGTGAAATTTGATGTTTTATTCTCCCCCTCCCTTCTTCCCCAGGTCCTAGGCTCATGGTGAGACGATTCTAGCTCCTGGGGTTCTGACACCAACATCCCCTCTAGAAGGACCAAGACCGCGTGGTCAGCGACGCTGAGATGTGACACATGACGCTCACCAGACCGGCTAAGGTTGGTGCTTATTGGGTCAGTCACTACCGAACACCATTACCACACTGCAAAAACAGATAGATAAGCAAGACCCTGTGGAGGAATTCAAGGTGACTTTGGGGTAAAAGTTTGGATCAGTGATATTTGGAGAATTTTAAAAGTCTCAAAAACATTGCATGAATTTCTGTAGTCTATAGAATTTCAAGTGATATTATCAGATCTTCCCATTTTCGTATCTGCAAAGCAGAATGTATCAGAATACAAGGGATTTATTTCAACCAATTGTAACCGACAACGAACCAAATTTTGCACTCGATCAGCAAAAGCTCAATGTATTACCAGACAGTTTTGCCAATGTTTCATTGAGTCAGTGAAATTTGACTCACCAGTGACATGTCCCCGATGTCTAGTCTGAGTCATGAGTTGAGTCATGAGAGCCAAGTTTGAGTCATCATCCATTGTAACTTGAAGTTAAGTTTGAGAATTTGCAACTCAAGTCAAACTCAAGTCCGAGTCACAGACTTGGTTCTATATTTCTACCATACTGGTGTATGGCTATGTTTTCCATGCATTTGCTGAAGAATGAATATGCAAACGATTAAGTCAGCCAAAGATAACTTGATTCGTCATTGAGGTCCGAGCTGGAGAGAGAACAAGCAATGTAATGTGTGTTGTCGGTCAATTTGTTCACTTTGAAATGTAGGTGCTATATGAAATGTCAGTGGCAGTCAACTGTGAGGAAGCCAAGAAACCTGTCTGCAAAAACAAGAACAGATTCCCCAATGTACTTCCATGTACAGGTAAGTTCATTTTGTAGAAGTTAGTATACTTTTAAATAGACTTTTAAGTTGAAAAGTGGCCTCTATGAGCTCAGTGCACTACCAAAAGAGGGCACCTTTTTACCTAGCAACGACATCCCATGGGCGGTACATTTCGCTGGTTGACGCGCACCGTTCCTTGTGTGTGACGCCCGTACACCAGGGGATTTGTTCTATGTACACGTAGTGGCTGCACACCCCCAACTGTACTTCTTTTGCCGGTGAGGGGGTACTTGTGAACGGAGCGGATAGGCAACACTTGTTGGCACACCCACACTGCATTGTGAATTGCATTGTTCTTTATTATAGGGGGATGGGTGCTAAGGTAGTCTATGGAATATCCCTGTACACAGCAAGGGTCTATGATATGCAAGCAGATTCAGCGATAAATTATGCAAAACAAGACTGCGTCTTGACCTCGAGATTCTGACCATTCAGCGGGTGCCTTGAATATCGAGTCTTCAGTAAGTTGTTGTCATGTACATCCAATAAAACCAAGAAAAGACATAAACTATGCCTTTATGTTATAAATTGTGTTAGCAAAAACAGCCTGTGTCAAACAGCTGGTATTGATATGTTACTTGATGCATGAACGTCCTGTGACTTCAAATGATCATCACATAATATTTGAAATAGTGCGCGTAATGTGAATGCCCTCTTGCGTATGATAACAGTTTTGAAAGCTAATGTCGATAACATCTCCATACCTGTTGATGTATTACAACAACATGGCATCAAAATTGCTCAGTCAACAGCTTAGGACAAATTTCAAAATGAAATGATGTCATGCTGACTCATGATTGGCCGGCGCTCAGGGTTGCGTAAATTTGCATGTGTAAATGTATCAGATGTTTGGCCATAGTCAGAGGGGGATACAACGAGTGATACTCAGACTAGTGTTAAGGCTTCATTTTTACAAAACCAATTTGTATTTCAATTTATTCAGAAAAGAGTGGACTGCAACATTAGGCAAAAAGGGGGTTGATACCATTCAAACCTTGCTTTGTTATGTCTGTAACTAATGTCAGTTGTAAATATGAAAGGGGCTGTGAAACCTGATCATTATGATGTTAGAATTTCATATTGTACATTTCATGGGGCACGTGCGTGCCCCCCCTCCACCACAACCCCCCCCCCCCCCCCCACAGTGGAGTTCCATGCCCCCCCCCCCCCCGGTTCCCCCACCCCTCTTTGGAATATTGAATTGCACACCACAATATATTTATATGTTAGCTTCAGTTCCCCCCTCAAAAAATTGGTGAACCCCCAGGTGCCCCCGTCCCACAAGTTTATAAGCCTAGTTACGCTGCTGTATCTTTAGAAAGCTCCAGATGCTGATTGGTAAAATAACAGACTTGTGATCTTTGCTGAAATGCCATTGTATCGCATGTCATTTTGCCTCAAATTAAGTTGCCCGGCAGAAAGTGCTTATTCATTTGTAGCACTGTTGGGCATTTTTCAGAGATTGTGTCAATAAAGGGTTTTCTGACTCCACATTGTCATTCATTCATTGAGATTTAATTCTGGTGATCCAGCATTTCATACTGAAAACATGCATTTTTCAAAGCAGTAGGCCTGAGGAATGTCCAGAAAAGGAGTAAAATATCAGCAGATATTACCTACCATATGCCACCTGACTTGAATAACATGATTTAAAAACACAGTTATTGTTTTTGATTTGGCTAATTATTATGAACTGCACTTCTTGTACATCCTATGAGAATCAACAGAAATAATTTGAAATTCTAGGTATTTTGATAATTTTACTACACCAGTTGTGTTCATATGGCCACCAACGAATCCTATACATTTGTATCATGAAAAATGTTTACACCCCTATTTCTACAAATTTAACCATTCATTAAAGGGAAAATACAACATTTGCAAACATCAAAAAATAAAACTACCAAATCATTTTGAAATACCTTGCTGGACTGTTAGTGAATGACAGTGTAAAGCATCCTGTAAAATCATGGCACCTGGTATACTGTCATTTTCAAGAAAAGTGGTATTTTTGTATCAATTTCCAACGCTGATCGGCCGATCAGCGTTGGAAACAACTGGCTTTTTTTCAAATACTGGCCCCAATTGACCATCGCACTTGTTTGCAATCGATTTCAAACCTATGAAAGGGTACGAGCCAGCTAGACTGGTTCCCTGACCTTACAATTCCCCAATGTATGTAAACTGCCCAGTTTCTTCTTATATGGAGTCAGGGAACCAGACTACAGGAAAATGATCGTTTTTCTTGGCTTTTATAGCATTTTCGAACCCAAAACCTCAAAAAGTCCGTGTAACTATATTTGCTATATATTTCCAAACCCCCAATTCCATCCATTTCTGAAAATTACAGCAAAAGCAAATGATGTATATTCCCTTTAATTGATGTCATAGACTAGGCCAGCATTACACATTTCAGATATCAATTTTTTGGATATTTAATTCTATTCACGTTTGCTCCATGAATGAAGGGGAAACATGATTAGTCAGTCTAGATAACAAAAAATGTGAAGACAAAATCATTTTTATTTCACATCATGAAAATCTGATAAATGACTAGTACCTTATAGTTTATATGGTGATAACATGATTATTTCTTAAAAACAGTCACTATGCACTGATGAAGACCATTGTCTGTCACACTGTTTGAAATGGTGAACTCTTCTGAAGGTTTTGAATGAAAAATTGTTTCTGCTAAGAAGATTTATAACCTGTTAGCCTATGTTGTGAAATTATTCAGATTGGCATGTCTTAACTAAAACCTCATAAATCATCAAGATGGTTGTTTGATTTAAAATCCTGTAAAATGAGAGCAACTATAAATACACCTCGTTACCCAATAACCAGGTCAGAGAGTATTCTGTTGCTACATTGATAGGTTCTTTATAAACAATATAAACTTCCCTGTCAATGGAGACTGATATCCTTTTGATCGGCCGAGCCACATGTCAAAATTCAATTATTCTTGGATCCCAGTTGTTACTTAGATTATATGAATAAAATTATAAGATAATGACTGACTTCTTATGATGCACGTTGCTCAATCTAAGGCACTTCTCAGTTGTTGCTTTATACCAAATTTGACAGTCTTTTTTAAATTTTTTTATTTTATTTATTAAGCTCTGCCAGGAGCTAGCTTTCTTAATGTCACTCGGTGGTCGGTCGATCTGTCTGTCCCCGAAAAATTAATAAAAATAAGCCCCCTAAGTTTCCTACAAAATATAACCACCAAATTTTACATTGATGAAATTGCAAACAAAACAAATTAAATACTTCAAGAAATTGTTTGTAACAATTTGGAAAGATGTTTATGGTAAGTTTGTAAATGGAGGCAAAATAATTATGTGCTGTATTTATTACACATTGCCATCAATCTACCATCCTGTCCAAAACTCGCTGGGCCCCCAACTCCCCGGCCTTCGCTCAATGTTGTCTCTCATTGCGCGGTGTGTGCTCTATCTGCTGGAATGAACAACATTGACCAGGGGGAGCAGGGGAGTGGGTGACCCTTGGAGGCTAAGGTTATTTCCAAGTGTCCCAACCATTTTGGCCGGGATTGTAGGTATATCTCTGCTCTGGCAGGGATCATTTTATAGATTTCATGCAAGACTTTCATATAAGACGGCCCGAGCTTATTGTGTACTAGCACTTGTTTATGAAATCAATCACTTGGCAACTAACTTAAATTCTCACTGGATAAGATAGTGGCATCATTTTCTTGGACTAGATTGAAAAAAAATTGGATTATTCTTTGGTAGAAATTTGATAGCAAACATAAGAATGATGTTGACAAGCTCTAAGAATACAAAGATTCAGCCAAATTTGTTTAAACACTGGGTTGCTTCTCAGTGTGTCCTGGAATAATGTCTTTACACATTTTAAGTTAATTGCTACTAAAAGGTTTTCATTTTCACCATTTCAGGTTTTCATCTTCACCACTCAACCCTGCTTGCTTTGCTGCACAATTTTTTGCATTCAAATCAACAAGAGCTTGACTTGTTTCATTTGTACAAAAGAAATAGTGAGAATTATGTACAAAAACCAGTGATAAGGCCAAAAAAAAAAGTCTGCGGTTTCTGGTATGGAGCTTGTCCAAAAAGTGGTGCGGCGATGCGGCTTTTTTTTTTTTACCCGACTTTTTTGCTTCGATTTGCTTCAAATGTCGGCTGATGACTGCAAATGGTGCCCGACTAAACTTAGTGCAAATATATGGAAGTCCAGAGAGGCCACATAAAGCTTATTCTGGATCATAACCCCATCTAAAAACACGTTGAAATTGCGCAACAGCAGAATTCCAGTCAAACCAGTGAGTTTGGCGGTTTTGAGACATCATCTTTCATTGAAAAAAAAACTTTTTCATTTTGCCGACGCGCATGGCTACGGCGATGCGCGCGCTTACCAGAAACCGGAGACTTTTTTTTTTTTGGCCTAACGAGTATTTTGAAAAAAATCAAAGAAATCTGCAGTTTTAATAATTTTGAAAGATATACCTGTTTCAAGTAATAAAATCAAAGTTTGGATGTATAATAGCAAAATTTGCCAAGCTTTTAGTTGCATCAAACTAGCCTCAAGTTCCTACCCCTTAGACACAGTGGCACACCCAGGATTTGCCTGTTTGGGGGGGAGCTTACATTTTTTTTTATCAAATGTGTTTGGCCGCAGAACAAAATTGAGGGTTTTTTTGGGGGGGGCTGACAATTTTTACATTTGTGGCGCCAATTGCACCCCTATTATGCTACTCTAAAATAGGCCACACACAGGTCAAACCGTGGGACTAAAAAAAAAATAAGGCCCCCTCCCCCCAACCCCCCAAAAAATGACAACCTCTGGGGGCTCCCGAGGCCTTCCCCATCCCTTGAGTGCACCACTGCTTAGATAGAGTAAGATCAGCATTTTTACTTGTTATAAAAACCTGGGGTGTGAATGGTTATAACAAGATTATGGTTAACAAGATGGTTATAACAAGATTATGTACGTACAAGGATTAGCCCTGTCTTCCAAGATTAGGGCCCACGGGTTTTATCTAACTCGCAACTAGTCACTTCAGTCTATGTTATGATTACAGTCTGTGCTAAATGGTATTATAGCCAAGAAATGCTTTACTAACCAAGTAATTACCACAGAATCCTTCACTCATCAGCAACTATATAAACACACCACTTTTTTAATGAATGCTTATATGCAGGGGAATACCTATACATTTCCCAATTTCAGTTCTGTTTAGTGATGTGAAAGGAGTTTTTCAATATTTTGGATAAACTCCCTGAGAATTTGAGTTTGAACAAAGCATGCATGAGTATCACTATTTCTTGTTACTTTTTCTTAGGAAAGGTTATTTTTCTATTTCCTCTGTGTAATTATTCTGTCCTTACACTCGGTGATAGACCTGTACAGACTCTCCTGCAGCCACTACCAGATCACCACTTGATGTGAATGTGATGCCACGTGGATAACCACATCCCTTGATCACACATCCAATGTACTTGCCATCAGGACTGTAATGCAGAATATCACCTTTTTGATATCTGCCCACAGCAACATAGATGCTGTTATCACTGTCACAGCTCACACCAGTAGGGCAACCCCCCTGCATGTTCCTGGTCATGTCTACTGAGGATAGACTGGCACCATAAAAGCCTACACATACCAATCTTTCCTTAGGCCAATTTGTGTAGATGAGGTGGTGATTATGCATTGTTAGATAATCCTCAATCATTTGAGCAGGCAGTCTCCTGATGAGGGATCCATCTGGGTTGTGTATAGATATCTTATCCTCGTCTCTGTAACCCACTGCTATCAGATTACAGTCATCCACTGCCAGGCATGTTGGTTGGCTGTCTGACCCTCTACCTGGTGTGAACTGATGGAGGAGCTGATGTTGCTTGTTGAAGACCTTGACTAATCGACCATCTAGAGCAAGGAGTTTGCCATCCTTCCTCACTGCAATACACCTTACATCATCAGTGAGGCCATTGATATGTAGCCTTTGTGGGATAGGAAAGGGTTCCTGGTAACTATTGGGAATTGAAGCTGTGAATAGTGCACCACTGTTTCCAGAATAATTTTTAGATAGTACAAGTATTTTATTGTTAAAGAGTGCTGCAACATGTGATATATATGTTTGTGTTACTCCAATGTTCGTGGCTTCACTCTTCAGTTCCCATTTCTCCTTCACACATGATCTTGGAGGTCTTGGCGTTGGCTTTTCTGCAGCCTTTGGTTCTTCCTCCAGAATGAGTCTCCCAAGTGACCTGTCACCTTCTTCAAAATCCATGAAGGTCAACCTGTCGGGAACTTGTTGTGGCTGTTTCCCTGACAATTCACTGAGGTTATGCAAGAGCTTCTGCTGAAGTTCAAGAATCTCATAGCAACTTGCTTGATTCATGAGTTGGTTCACCTCCTCCAGCTTGTGCTCTGTCTGTGTCAACTCTTTCCTGTTGGTTGCTTGAACAGCTTCAAAAGCTTTGAGTTTGTCTTTATAAATCGTGCTGGTCTCTTTCAACAATTTCTGTTCTTCCTTTTTGATCTTTGCAACCTCCTGTTTGAGCTTTGTAATCTCCTGTTGAGCCTTTTTGGAGATTTTCTTTTGAGTGTAGGCAAACATGGTGTCCAGATCCTTGCGAGATTTGGACATCTCTTCTATGGTGGTGCTCAATTCTGTTTTTCTTTTCTCACTTTTTTGGACCATTTCTGTGACCTTCTTCTTACATTTCTCTACTGCCTCAGGTAATCCAGTGAGTGAGTGTTTTTCATGATCAAGTACAGAGCATGTTGTGCATATGACTTGCTCACATGAGTTGCAGTAGACATTGAGATTCTGATCTGGATGCTCGTCACATTTGGGAACTTCTTCTCTAAGTTTACTCTTGTAGACAATCTCTCCTGATCGAAGTTGAGCCAGTGTGTAGATTTTGTGAGATTTCATCATCAAATTCATTCGTCCATGTGCCTTTTGACATTCTTGGCAGAGGAAATGATCACAGTCCATGCATCTTGAAATAGCCTGATTATCCTCATCACAGGCTTGACATTTGATGTCTGACCCTTGACCTTCCAGTAGCTTTTCCTGCATTGTAACTTCCTCCACCATGGCACTGAAGGCAAAGTTATTAGGGAGATCAGCAATCCCAGACCCTTTCAACATGGTTTCACGTCTGCACAAAGGACATGTCAGCTTTGTACCAGTACCACTAGAATCTTGGCTTTGTCTCAGATCGTGGAGGCATTGCAGGCAAAAACTATGCAAACAGTCCAGCAGTTTGGGCTGCCTGAAACGGTTGGTGCAGATGAAGCATTCCAGATGATCCACACTAATCTTCTCCAACACTGATTGAGCTGTATCACTAGATGCCATCTTAACTTCTTGAAAATCAAGTTTTGTGTTGAACCTAAGAATGAATAAAAGTGTCAAAGGTTGACTTTAATATATAAAATGATTATATTAATCATCTCCAACGATGTCAACATGTTTTGTTTCCTCAGTTCATGGGTATCAATTCATCACCGTGTTTACGAAGATCGAGCCAAGACAGTATGTTTTCGAGATAATCACAAAATACAACATATGATTCTATGAAAGCTTAATTTTTATGTGAACTCAGTTTGTAAAACAGTTGTTAATTAGTGAAAATTAATTAGTGAAGATGTGTGGCTCTTTGTGAAAATGAAAGTCTCAGTTAACCCATCTTTATACCTATCAGTGCAATAGGTTTTGTACGCGTTCAAGGGGCCAAAATTTGGCTCTTCATGAAAATGCAAAATGCATTTATTAAGTTCTGCCCCTTGCAACATTAATGTAACTTGGAAATTAATGATGTTTTGCTTATACAAACATGTCACATTGGTTAAGTACAATGTTTTAAAACAAACTAGTGAAAAAAATGAAAATCGAAAAAATTGTAATTTTTGACATCTGTGGCTCTTCATGCAAACGGTGATGAATTGTAATGTGTAATTAATTCAGTTGATTGACATAACTCCAATGTGCAGAGAGGCACTTGCAATTGGACGGCCCCTCTCTTTAAACCCCCCCCCCCCCCCCCCCCCAACAACAAAAATATATTGAGCTACTCTTAGTTACTACTGTATTAGAAAAAAAATGATGTGAAATGCTTTTTGCTTAGGCTTATATTTTATTAATTCAAAGCATTGACATGATGAGCTCCAATGTACAGGGAGGCTTTTGGGCAGTCCCACTCTCTGGAGGGGAAGCTAATTGTAGTTTTTAATCTCCCCCCCCCCCACCCCCAATTTTGTGTTGCATTAAGGGAGCGCGGGCTGACTGAGGTGCATGGCCCGCCCTCCCCCTTTTTTGGTTCCATTGAATACAATATTTTACATTTATATCTAGTCAGCCACAACCAAAATACAATGCATTGAGGAAAATCACGATAAAGCATTTATAGGGGAAGAAACAGATAAGAAAAACACCAAAAAAGCAGTGCTAACGTGACTTTGGCATGATCCCTGGCTGCATGGCATAAACACATTCACGGCTTCTGTCTAGTGCCCCTTGAACAAAGATAATTTCAAACTGGGGAACCGCCAACATAGGGCTGGTCCGGAATAGCTCAATTGAGTGTTATACAAGTAATCTGCAGGTTATAGGTTCAAACCCCACTTTATCAAGTTCTTTGTTCAACTGTTAAACTTTATTGGAGGTTCAAATGTAGGATCAAGGATATGTTTAGTCCTCTCAAGCCAGTAGACTAAACGGGCATTTTTTGTCGAGAGTATTGTATTTGAGCATTGACTACTCCCTCTTGTAAGACCAATGCTGCACATACCGGTACTGGTTATTATTCCAAGATTCTTGACAAATGCCATGTAAGATGGGTACAACCACGGTACAACATCAAGTATCTTACCTGAATTGAAGTCTTTTTGTTAATTTAGAAGAAGATTTGAAACTATCCTTCTGGAAGATGGCGCACAACATAGGCAATTTACAACTTTGATGTGTATACAATACACTGTACATGTTCATGGATGCATATGATTGCACATAGTGCGTAAATTCCCAGGTCTATTTTTAGAAGCTGTTGGAGTCCGTGTATATACAATGTACATGTACTGTACCGGGTACTCTCTGCTCACATCGGATGCAGGTTCCTGTGCATAAATGGCAGTCAGTGTTTCCATGACCCTGGTGCCCCAGCCCACAACAATGGAATCAGACGTCACCAATGCTATTTTGGGACTGAACAGCCCTGGTGATTTTCATATTTCAGCCTGAAAAAAAATGTACAGCATTTTTTTGTTCACTTTTGAATAAAGCTCTGCCCTCAAAACTTGGCTCATTTTGTTGTTAATTATATATATTATATTTTTCAATCATTTGTTGCCCAATGGTGATTCGGGTTCATGAGAGCATGGAAGAATGTATATTTTATTTTTCTATTATGAGAGCTTGAAAAGTAATCCAAAAAAAAACTTTTCCTAGGAGGGTTGCAGATGCAAAATAAAAGGGTGTGGTTTTTTAGGGGATGGGGGTGGGAGTAAGAATACAATACACAAAATTGGGATTTGTCAGGAAAAGAAATCTTTTTTTTTTAATTCCCAGGGCAAGGAGCCTTCAAATATATATTAAGGCTGGTTGGGCTATTTTAATGTGAATATTTCTTTATGTCATCACTTGTCTAGTTCGAGACACTAAAAAATAGACAATATATCTACAAAAAAGGGGAGACTTGACATGAGTACAGTACTTCTTAAGAATTGCAACTTTGTTATCAAATTACTTTCAGCTCATGTCTTAGGGTCTGAAAGTGATCTTGTGAAACTCATCACTAAATTAGTGTTCTTTTTCGAGTTTTACCTTGAAATCAAAGGTTTTACCAAGGAAACAAAACTTTTTTGGGGATTTCTTTTTTTTATTCACTTCTAAATGATACATCAAATGGAGAAAATTGCTCCCCCAACGTTCAGTTTTGAAAAAATTACCCCAGAAATTTTGAATGATTTGCCATCAAACCATGATTAGCTCCTCGTATGTTTAACTGGTTCCTAGCTGTACCTATCGCGATCAATAATGTAAATGCTAGGAAGGAGTCTCCTTGCATTGTGCATTTGTTTGTGCACAAAATTAATCCAAAATAAAAGCCTTTTAAAGAGGGTTGCAGCTGCCCTAAAATAAAAATTTTACATAAAGATTAGAAGTGACGTGTTGAAAATTCATTCAAATATGGTTTCCCTTTACAACAAAAGACAAGCGCCCAATTGACAGAAGGGCAAAAGAAATGAGTAGGTTGGACTACAGAATGATTAAATAATTCTTGATTCCATATTTGATTTAATTAAACTCTTCAAATCCAAAGAGATTAAAATGTCTCCAAGAAAATCCACAATGAAAATCAAGCCTCAGATTAAAACCTGAGTGGAATTTGCCCAGTCAGTGACTATATCGAGCCACTTCCGGTTTTACAATATCTGTTTATAATTTCAGGAAAACATCAATGCAAAGCCAACTATAAAATTACAAGAAGATCCATTTCAACACGGTTGTCATGTAGTGAAATTCACTGCTATAAACAACCATTACAGATGTTACGTTTTAAGGCATAGATTTTTGATTTTCAAGACTCAGTGATAAAAGTCTGCAGTTTCTTGCAAGAACATGAAGAAGTTTTCTTACCGAAGCAGCCATTGTTTTTATTCTCTTTGTTGCGATTGTGATGATAGTTTGTTGTGTCACATTCAGAACAAACAGCCATAAGACATATCAGATTGCAGGTTTTTTGGAAGGGAAATCTGGGGTTAACTCTGTAAAAGTCTCCTGACATCGGACAGAGCATGCTGGCCGTAGCATTGAGTTAATACCTGTCTCTTCAGAACCATCACATACTCACAAAAGAGATTTATTTCACATGGTGCCACCGCAAACTTACCTTGCTGTTATCCTCACCATACAAACTTTTCATGCTTATCTAATGAAAAACAGTTTTGTAAAACGCAATTTGGTTGTGATGTCAGCAATCAGCGAAAAGAAATTTAGACCCGAAGCCAAACCAGATGGGATCAAAGTTTCACTTCTTGAAACTATCAGTGAGACACATGACTTTCTCTCTTGTCTTTATTGGGTTCATAATGTTCAAATATTGGTGACTGGAATTAACTCAAGCTAAATATTTGACTCGACTCGACTCGACTCTACCTTCTTGACCTTAATGATTCCTTACCATGGAAACCCTCCATTTTTTGGAAACAGCTTTGTAAAACAAAATTTGGTTTTGATGTCAGCGATCAGCGAAAACAATTCTAGACCCAGAGCCAAACCAGATGGGATCAAAGTTTCACTTCTTGAAACTGTTATGACACAAATTACTTTCTCTATTGTCTTTATTTGTTATATACATGTAGTGTTCAAATATTCATGACTCAAATTGGCTAAAGCTAAATATTTAACTTGACTCGACTCGATTCGACTCAACTCGACCTTCTTGATCTAATAACTTGACTCAACTAGACTTGAGTCCCCTCTTTAAAATGATTTGACTCGACTCGAGTCACTTCTTCAAATGACTCAACTGGACTCGAGTCGCAAAAAACAGTTACTCATTACAACTCAGCCGAGGAATGACAAGGAGATTCCAATCCAGGAGATAATAAAATGAGTCCTTGGCATTGTCAGCAGCAGCCTTTGTATAATGTTGGCTAAATGTTTAAACATGTGAACACTGCATTAAAAGCTCTGCAAAAAATGCTTACAAAAATAAACATGCATGACCATTATTACAGTATTACATTAGTAAAATGTGACGTTTGATCCTTCCCCCAGGTCAAGCCCATGTCCCCGAAGGCGATGATGATAATTCCAGCTCCTGGGGTTCCGACACCAACATCCCCATCAGAATAAAAGCCTTTTAAAAAAGGTTGCAGCTGCCCTAAAATAGAAATTTCACGTAAAAAATTAGCACAAATTTTATGTGCCGTGTTGAAAATTCATTCAAACGTGGTTTCCCTTTACAACAAAAGACAAGCACCCAATTGACAGAAGGGCAAAAGAAATGAGTAGGTTGGACTGCGGAATGATTAAATAATTCTTGATTCAATATTTGATTTAATTAAACTGTTCAAATCCAAAGAGATTAAAATGTCTCCAAAAAAATCCACAATGAAAATCAAGCCTCAGATTAAAACCTTAGTAGAATTTGCCCAGTCAGTGACTATATAGACCCACTTTCTGTTTCACAATATCTGTTTACAATTTCAGGAAAACATAAAATGCAAAGCCAACTATAAAATTACAAGAAGATCCATTTCAGCATGGTTGTCATGTCGTTGAATTCACTGCTGTAAACAACCATTACAGATGTTGCGTTAACGGCATAGATTTTTGGTTTTCAAGACACATTGATAAAAGTCGGCTTTTGCTTGCAAGAACATGAAGAAGTTTTCTTACCAAAACAGCCATTGTTTTTATAATTTGTTGCGATTGTGATGATACTTTGTTGTGTCACATTCAGAACAAACAGCCATAAGACATATCAGATTGCAGGTTTTTTGGAAGGGAAATCTGGGGTTAACTCTGTAAAAGTCTCCTGACATCGGACAGAGCATGCTGGCCGAAGCGTTGAGTTAATACCCGTTCTCCTCAGAACCATCACATACTCACAAAAGAGATTAATTCCACACGGTGCCACCGCAAACTTACCGGGCTGTTATCCTCAGCATGCAAACTTTTCATTCTTATCTAATGAAATACAGTTTTGTAAAACGCAATTTGGTTGTGATGTCAGCAATCAGCGAAAAGAAATTTAGACCCGAAGCCGAACCATATGGGATCAAAGTTTCACTTCTTGAAACTGTTATGATACAAATTACTTTCTCTCTTGTATTTATTTGTTACATAGTGTTCAAATATTCATGACTCAAATTGACTTGAGCTAAATATTTAACTCAACTCGACTCAATTCGACTCAACTCGACCTTCTTGATCTAATAACTTGACTCAACTAGACTCGAGTCCCTTTTTTAAAATGACTCGCCTCAACCCTCAGGACCTATGACTGGACTCGACTCGAGTCACTTCTTTAAAATGGCTTGACTCGACTCGAGTCACTTCTTCAAATGACTCAACTCGACTCGAGTCGCAAAAAACAGTTACTCATTACAACTCTGCCGAGGAAAGACAAGGAGATTCCAATCCAGGAGATAATAAAATGAGTCATTGGCATTGTCAGCAGCAGCCTTTGTATAATGTTGGCTAAATGTTTAAACATGTGAACACTGCATTAAAAGCTCGCAAAAAATGCTTACAAAAATAAACATGCATGACCATTATTACAGTATTATATTAGTAAAATGTGATGTTTTATCCTTCCCCCCAGGTCAGGCCCATGTCCCTGAAAGCGATGATGATAATTCTAGCTCCTGGGGTTCTGACACCAACACCCCCTCTAGAAGGACCAAGAACGCCTGGTCAGCAACGCCGAGATGTGACACGTGACACTCACCAGACCGGCTAAGGTTGGTGCTTATTGGGTCAGTCACTACTGAACACCATTACCACACTGCAAAAACAGATAGACAAGCAAGACACTGTGGAGGAATTCAAGGTGACTTTGGTGTAAAGGTTTGGCTCAGTGATATTTCAAGAACTCACAACTTTAAAAGCCTCAACAAAATTGCATGAATTTCTGTATTCCATTACAGAAAATACCTCACCTCTGTCTACCTACATTTGCATATCAGCGCGCATGCGCACAAACATTCGCTGAAAAGAATAGCGCCCAAGCCACACCCTCATTGTCCACTGCATGCCCCATGCCCCATGCCCACCAAGGACCCTGTAACGTAATAGCTCGTCCTAGTTTTTCAGCGACGCGTAGTGTAAAGACGTACATTTTTTAGCTGGACTCCGCCAGAACCAAGAAGAAAACTGTCTCAAGCCGTTCTACCGGAAAGTCACCCTCTACTAGTCAATCAAAGCGTGATAATTCCTCTGCTACGACCGGGCCCAATCTCCCGGGTTCGACAGTTGGAATTTCTCCGGGGACCAATACTTCTCCAACGAGAGTTACGGCCACTCCCAGACAAATCCCGCATTCTTACAGCAGCCTACAGGAGCACATGGCTTCGGAACAACAGGTCGACTCGCATGTGCAGGCGGGACGGCGGGGCTTGGCGTTCGAAACCCAGCGGTCCCTCGGTAATCCGACCAGCCCCGCCAGGTGACAGAGGCTTGGGGCACCACCACCACCATCATCTTCATTCAGCCATACTACGGGTTCGTATTCACAGCCTAGTTTTACAAGCGAATCTCGGCGAGATTTTCCTCATCATTCGGAGCCTCACCCGTGGCAATTCGACCACAATACTCGCACTCCGTTTCCACTCAGTGCACCATCCTACGACCCGCGGGTTTATCCCCAGACTTTTCCGATGGGATTTTCACACTATTACCCACCTTATCAGGGTAATTCTTCACATTCTCCGCGAGATCATGGCGTACCTTTCACAGAACAAAGATTCCGTTCTCCGCATTGCTTCGGTGAACACACCAGCCGGGCGGGGAGAGAACGCCGCGATTCACGGCGATGTTCCCGGTCTCGTGCGCGGTCCCGCTCGGACTCCGTCGATCGACATCGGCGCCGACATCGTTCTTCTCGTCATGATCGTGATTACTCACGGTCGGATTCTGGTCATCGAAGCCGACACTCACGTTCTAGATCTCCTTCAAGGTCTTCTTTTTGTTCGGGCAGGACAGTGGATGAAGATAGTCTCTCCAATGCCCAACGGGCTAATCTTACGATGACGGAAGTGGGTAAGATCCTTCAGTTTCCACCCCCTTCCCCAGACGAATCTACTCGTCCTTCATTTCGCAGAGATTCTGGTACACGTAAATTTAAGCCTTCGCAGCCCACTTTTCCTATTGATAGATTGTGTGCTGACACTATGAATGACTCCCTTAGTCAGGTGCATAGCAAACAAACTCTCTCTCGTGGCCAGAGCAGGTTTGCAGGCATGTTCAACCCAATAAACCGGACACTGATAGATTTTTCTCTACTCCTTCCTTGTCTTCTGAGGCCAAAGACTTGCTGAGACGTGAGAATCCGCTATCTCATAAGTTTTTTGATGCTAAGACGAATACACTTAACAAAAGATTTGCCTACTTGGATAGCCATATGCATCAAGGGACCAAAGTGGCCTCTTTCTCCATCCTGTTATCGGATACCCTTGCTCGATGTTATGGAGATCCTTCCTTGTGTGAGCCTTACAAGATATCCGAAATGTTCCATTTTTTGGATGATTGTCTAGGTTTTTGCCTCAAGGAATTTAGTTTAGGTTTCGCTTCGACTTTGTTGCTGCGACGTTCCCTTGTTGTAGACAAGTTGTCTCTCCCTTCACTTGGTGCAAAGGATCGCATGCTAGGCCTTCCCCTGGCTGGGCGTGATCTTTTTGACAACAAGTTCGACGAGACTATGTTACATGAAGCCAAACGCCTTAAAGCTGAAGACAAGTTCGATTTTCGTCGGCGTTCAACCAAACGCCCCTCTACATTTGCCCCCAGTCAGCCCAGCAAGAACTATCAACGCCCGTTTTCTACCGACAAGGGCTCCAACCAGTCGAAGTTTCAGGGGCATCAGGCTTCTTCGTCTTCTTCCAGCTACACCAGGAGACAGCCCCCCAGATATTCGCGTCCCTTCAAGTCCCGGGGGTCGCGAGGTAACAAGGGCCTATGACAACAACACAGTTTTCATCCCTCCAGCTTCGGGTCCAGTAGGTGGTCGTTTTGGGGAGTTCAGTCAGAGATGGTCTCACGTAACCTCAGATACTTGGGTTCTTCAAACGATCTCGACAGGGTACCGTCTGGAATTCACCAGCAACCCTCCTCTACAACCTCCAAGACGACCAACTCCTGTTCCCTCAGATTCTGCACGCCGGGCGGCGTTGGAGAAGGAAATAAGCTCTCTGATAGACAAGAACGCCATCATTCTGCTTCCAACGGGGTCCACTCTTGGCGTCACCTCAACCTTTTTCCTGGCACCGAAGAAGTCGGGCGATTGGCGACCCATCATCAACCTACGACCTCTCAACAGTTACATAAAACCCAAACACTTCCGCATGGAGACTCTTTCCACGGTCCTCCAGTCCCTGAAAAGGAATTGGTGGGCTACTTCCATCGATCTGAAGGATGCCTACCTTCATGTACCTATCCACGCAGATCATCAGAAGTTTCTCCAGTTTCTATACCAGGGTTCCGGGTACCAATTTCGTTGCCTACCGTTCGGCCTCTTCACAGCCCCTCGGGTCTTTACGAGAATAGCCAAAGCAGTAGCAGCTTTCTTGCGTCAAAAGCAGATCCACATATTCCTGTATCTGGACGATTGGCTCATAGTAGGTCCGACCTTCCAGGACACAGTAGATGCCCTCCGACAGCAGTGTTGGAGCAAAGGCTTTGACCCTCAAGGCCAAGGCCAAGGCTTTGACCCTCAAGGCCAAGGCCAAGGCCAAGGCTTTGACCCTCAAGCCTTAAGGCTAAGGCCAAGGCTTAACCCTCAAGGCCAAGGCCAAGGCCAAGGCCCTGTTTTATAAAATGACCACTAATATAGAACTAATTATAGTCACGGGACATATCATCCCGAATTGCTCATTAAGAAGAGCAACTTGTCTTTAATTGCAATCAAAATGCTCACATACAATGTTTGATGACTGCATCTATTAAAGTAAAAGTTCAGGTATTCATGAATATGGTTTAACTAAAACAAAATAATGATTTACTTCTAAACTGACCAGTCTGATATTGAAGCACAATTCTCCAGAGTGTAACAAAAGGGGATCCAAGAAACTGAATTTTTATTTGCTGGGCCAACATGGTCAGAAATATTATTAGCATTACCTGCAAATCTTTAGCTCCAGGGAGATGTATAAGAAAAAGAACCAATCAGATTGATCATCAGTTAGAAAAAAAAGTTACTCACTAAAATTTTGTGTGGCTTTACTTATAATTCTGTAAGTCCCATCATTCATTTGCAGTAAGTCAAATGACTGGAATAAAGACCACGGAAGTACACATTCCCGCTTTTCTTTTCTTTGCTTGGGTTTTTTGTTGTTGTTGTTTTTGAAATTAAACATTTAAAATGTGTTCATTGCATTTGAGAAACATAATGGTGGAAAGCATAGCTGCAGACAGTCGTGCTCTATGAGGGCGCATTATGATGCCTCCTTGACTGAAGATTCGTTCCACAGGAGCACTGGAAGCTGGTACGCCCAACACTTTGACTGCAAGTGGATAGAGACTGGGGTACTGCGACCTGTTGTCAGCCCAGAACTGTAGAGGTCCACCTTGGCTGGTCTTGTTGCTATGGATGTGTTCAAGGTACTGCATGACTTGAGCTCTGGCAGTTCCGATCTCTCCACTTTTATTTCTGCTCCTGTAGTGTTGGTATCTGGCTAGGAGCCTTGAGGATTTTGTTGGCGGCTCTTCATCTTCACTGCTGGTACTTTCTGCTGCTTGACCCAGTGAATGTTTGTCAGACGTTGCTTCGACTTCAGCAATTACAAGCTCTGTAAAGAACATGTAAAGTACAAATCCTCACAATGAAATAAATTTGAATCATATAGTTCCCTTGGGGGGGGGGGGGGGGCTTACACATGCTGATAGTCAATAGTATTGTCCAACATCAAGTTCCTTAAGTACTTATAAGTAGTCACTTACGTTCAATCTCTTGTATTTATTGATATATATTGATATATTAATGCATATCTGTTTGTGCTTTATTGAACTTTTTCTGAGGAAACATTATTTTTACAGTAAAATGTTGAGGACTGAATAAACTTCACATAGATTAAATTTACTTGAAGAACTAATTGACATTTTCTTACAACAAGCTAAAAGCTTGAACCTTTTAGTGTTTCCTTCAAATCATCTCTCAGGGAAGGCCGATTGCCATCAAGGGGCACGTCTAGATCAACCCAGGTGAGCCCATATTGGGGATCGAGAACAGAGGCAATCATGTAGATCTTGTCGGAAAACGGGGTGTCTTGTGTGCCTGTGGTTGGGGGTGCAATTCCGGTTGCCACGTAAATCCCTTGGAAGTACTTGAGGAGGGCATCTTGAAGAGTTGTTGTGATCTGTTTGCAGTAGCGAGCACGGTCTTTCATCTTCTTCAGATGTGTGGCTAGGTCCAACAATGTTGGAACTATCAGGCTGACTGTAACAGCGAACTCCCCTGTTGAGTTTATATTAATCAGAAAGGCACATTCAAAACCCTGAAATAATTTAATATTAAAATGACATTTTTGTTTTGCATTAATATGAAATGTAAAATACAAATCATTATCTTTAATACTTACAAAAATGTAAGAGTGAGTTTAATAGCTGATACACTGTGAGCTACATGCAGGGTTTAATGATTGATGAATAGTTCCACCGATTTGTCCTTTGTTGATTACCAACCAAATTATGAATGATAGTACGATTGGATGAAAGCTTGACAACTAAACCAGGATGTTTACTCGTAATAAGAACAAACTATATTCAATATGATTATGATCTATATGCAATGTAAACATCCCAGAAGTACACTTATTGTACATGACTACTTCATATATCTGGCCAAAACAAACTATTGAATTCTTGCTGACGTCGGTGGTGTATTTTTATTAGTACCTTGCAATGTATCTGTTGCATCTGCAAATGGCTCCAGAACTTCCACAAGCTCACCAAGCTGGCCCCATTCGTGTACTGTGAATGCAATGGCGCTGAACTCCGTCCCACACACATCTTCCACCAGTGTCTTGAAATTCAATCCTAGGATGGACTTTAGCAGATGATATTTGCTGTTCCATCGAGTGGCATTTGCTTTGGGGATTGATCTGTTGAGACCAATTTTGGTCTCAAACCTGTGTTACAAGAAACCAAAAATGAAAGAAGTTTAAATACAAGCATATTGGCACTGTTGTAAAAATGTAACAGAAGAAACAAATGGGTCACAACTTTCAAATTAGTCACACACCTTTCTTTAAAGATGGTACTACGATGGAGAGTAGACGCCATCTTGCAGGCTTTGGCAATGGCATTTGACATTCCTCTCGTCTCCTTCAATCCCTTCCCGACCACTAGTTGCAGAGTGTGGGCAAAACAAGCAAGCCGCTGCGTCGAGTTGCTCTCTAGGGCCACGTTAATGATGTCTGCTTCTACCTCATCCATTTCTTCCCAAAGAGACTCATCATCAAGATCTATTTGTTCGAACTCCTCTACATCAACAGGGTCAGTAAGGTCATCACTCTCGTCAAGATTCTGTGGAAAACTAGCCTTGAATGCCTTCTTCATATTAGCAGCGTTATCCTTTACGATGAAACTGATCTTGTTCTTGATGTGAAACTCGTCTATCAAAGTTTCAAAGGCTGTACTGATGCGTTCTCCAGTATGGGAACCATGAAAACGTTCACAGCTCAGGAGAAGGGACTGAAGCTCAAGCTTACCTCCAGTGGAAGGACTTGGTGTGATAACATGGGCAGTGACTCCAAGAAAAGAGCGCATGACACGGTCACTCCAGATGTCTGCTGTCAATGATACATACTGGTGATCTTGGAGAATTTTCTTGATGCGTTCCTTCCCTGCAGTGTATAATTCTGGCAATCTTGCTCTGGTTACAGTTGACCGAGCCATGGGAGAATATCTACAAACAAAGTTTACAAGAACCAAATTAAAAAAATTGAAGAAAAACCATATAGGCCTGAATGTTGGCTGTGTTCTTTTGTCTATCATTTGCTGAAAATAAAATATTTACTATATTTGCTATGCCAGATGCCAACTAAATTGCTCTTCCTAAATGCTCGTTTGCCATTTATTTATAAATCTATGGAATTTTTTTTTTTGGGGGGGGGGGTGACAAGACACGGTTCAACTAGTTTAATACATTGCATTACAGAGTAGACATTTTTGACATGGTCAGTGTTCGTTTTCAATTATTTATGCAGCTACTTTAATTTGGAAAATGTCAATCCTAAATAGGTGACTTATTGTGAAAGAAGGCATATAAGTTATAAGTACTTACTTGGGCTCCACAACTTTCATGAACTTCTGAAAACAAGGATTCTCCACCAGCGATAGTGGCAGACTGCAGCCTACAATGAGATCTTTTATGATGGCTTCATTGATGGCTTTTTGTCGTGGGTGTTTAGCGCTGTACAGATGGATGAATTCAGATGATTGACCAGATGCACAGCTTGCTCCGGGTGTTGCGAAAGTGAGAATGCTGGCCTGCTTCTCCTCCTGTTGTGACTTGCTTTTCAAGTAATTGTCATACCTTGAAAAGAAGCATATGTATGACTATTCAGTTTTATAATTTTGTTATTGGTATATAGGCATGGAAATGCCATGTAGTCATGTACACATTTCTGTTCTCTGGCGTATCAAAAACAATTAGGCAGCATCACTTTTCTTCGTTGTCAAAAGATAAACTTGACTTCTACAGTGCGGATTGACTACCATTAAAAGTGGAAATTGTCTCCTAAATAATATAATTACTTATGTACCAAGGGAAACATGTAGGGAAATTGTAACTGCCCGTTTGACTTTTATGATTCAAGTCGCAGGGCTTCTTCAAATTTCTATTCATTAAATATTATTAGAAAAAAAAACACATTAAAAACACTGACCTAAAATGAATAGAAATTAGAACCTTATTTTGAATAACAATACGATTGAGGAGCTAAGTCTGCAGATTTTTTGTTGCTGAGAAAAACATGTTTTTGTTCTGTAATTACACAATACACATTGACAATAAGCCTAAAAGTAATAATAATATTAAATAAACTGAAATTTGCACAATTTTATACTTACTTTAATTTATGCTGTTTCATGTGTCTAGTGAAACCAGATGTCACTCCTACAGGTTCAGTTATCTGGGTAGTGCAGAATTTGCAGCGGGCTGTTTGTTTCTGCTTCCCATTTGAAGTTTTATAATCCTTGTAGTCCTTAAAACCAAACTTGATTATCGCTGAATTGGCAGACATTTTAATGCCACCCTACTGGTTATCTGTTTCAGTGATCTAAAATCCAGGGATAGGTACAGGTAATCAGTTCAATTCTGTATGACATGTGCTCAAGATCAGACCATGTGGAAAGTGACCCAAAATCTGACCTCAAATTAGCATAATATCAGTTATTGAGGGCGGTATACTGATACTCAGAACATGATCAGCAGTCACAGATTTCCCTTCTCCATGGTAACACGATTAGAATGGTAACAGCAAAATTTCAAACAGATTTATCTGGAAAATGCAAAAATCTATGGGCCTTGAAGAGCCTTGACTCAAAATTGCAAGGCCCCGATCCCTCAAGGCCAAGGCCAAGGCCAAGGCTTTTGCCCTCAAGCCTCGAGGCCAAGGCCAAGGCCCTAAAATCCAGCCTTAAGGCAGCCTTAAGGCCAAGGCCCAGCATCAAGGCACTACAACACTGTCCGACAGACCGTTCAACTTACCCTCTATCTCGGCTTCATCATCAATGTCGAGAAGTCGATTCCAACTCAACAACCGACCTATCTTGGAGCAGTTCTAGACTTGACAACAGGCAGAGCGATGCCATCGGGGGAAAGATGTCAGACACTCTGGGATTGCATCGGAATTTTCAGGTCATCTCCAATCCTCCCAGCCAAAGCTTGGCTCCGCCTTCTGGGCCTCATGGCAAGTCTTGTCGACTTGGTTCCCTGGTGCAGGATGCACATGCGTCCCTTACAGCTTCATCTCCTGTACCACTTTCGCCCTCGCAAGGATCCTCTATCGAAGATGGTTCCAGTTACTCTGTTAATTATCGACAAGCTCCGGTGGTGGCTAGCTCCGAACAATCTCCTATGTGGAGTCGTGTTCCCTCGCCCCTCTCCAGCAGCTATCCTCACAACAGATGCTTCAACTCTGGGTTGGGGAGCTCACATGGACTATCTTTTACGGGCCGGCACATGGTCGATGGAAGAGAGTCTACTTCACATCAATCAACTAGAACTCCTGGCAGTGGACAAGGCTTTACGTTCCCTAGAGTCCGAAGTCCTCAACAAATTAGTTCTAGTCAAGTCAGACAACTCCACAGTAGTGTCTTACATCAACCGTCAGGGGGGAACTCACTCCCCGTCTCTCTGCCTATCCACTTGGGAGCTACTCAGCTGGTGCATTCCTCGTCAAATATCTCTTCAAGCCACCCATCTGGCCGGGAAGAAGAATATCCTCGCCGACGCCTATTCCAGGGGTCGCATCTCTCCGACAGAATGGTCTCTCCGCCCTCCTGTAGACAAACACATCTTCAACGTACTCGGAACTCCACATGTGGACCTATTCGCATCTCACCTGAACAACCAGCTTCCAACCTTTTGCACCCGTCACACTCATCCTCTGGCGTGGAAGGTAGATGCCCTCAGCTTCGACTGGTCAGGAATGCATGCTTATGCCTTCCCCCCGACCAGACCTCCTCGGCCAGACCTCCTGTCACAACCCGGGTCTCACATTCTGCATCCGGATCCATCCACTCTCCATCTTTGTGCCTGGATGCTCTCAAAGTCTCCTTCCAATCAGCGGGACTTTCGGAGGAAGCTACGTCCTTGGCAACCAAAAGCAGACGGAGATCCACCAGAAGAACTTATGATAGTAGACTTCTCCACTTCACCAAATGGTGTGAGGAGAGAGCTGTCAATCCCTGTTCTGCATCTGTAACCTCGATTGGGGATTTCTTTCTTCGCCCTTTTAATTCAGGCCTTCAAATTTCAACAATTAAGGGCTACAGATCAGCTATTGGTGTCCTTCATCAGGGTTTCCATGATGGCACAACAACTTCATCCAATACATCAATTTCTCACATGATACGTGGTATGTTTAATGATCGGCCTCCTACCAGGAAGCTGATACCTTCATGGGATCCGGGCACCGTCCTGTTATCTCTCTCCAAACCTCCGTTTGAACCAGCAGGTAGTTCATCCCTTCACCATCTTACAGTTAAAACCATATTTTTACTGGCTGCAGCTACAGCTCGCCGCAGAAGCGAACTCCATGCTCTGTCAGTGGAACCGGGCCATATTCGATGGGAACCTGGCGGTGTACGACTAATTCCAAGGGTAGGTTTTCTCACCAAGAATCAATCAATCGGTTTCTCACCACCCGACATATTTGTACCAAGTTTGACATCGTTCTCTTCAGTAGCGGAGGATAAATGGTGGTGCCCCGTGCGAGCGCTCAAGTACTACATTGCTCGCACCAAGCCCCTCAGAGGAGACATCGGGCAACTGTTTATTACGACCATCCAGCCTCATCACAAAGCCTCTGTGACCATGATCGCTCGATGGATTTCGGTGGCCATACAATGCCATTCCGACCATCGAGGATCGAAATCAGGAGCCCACGAGACACGCAGCATGTCGACTTCATGGGCCCATCTGCTCCAAGAAACAGCACGATCAGCAGCCCGCTCAGCCCGCACAGCTCCTTTGAAATAGATAGGCAGCTCCCGGGTATGTCTAGACAACCTTTGCATGTTATTTAGAATTGCATGTAGGCCTAGTCTAGACTTTCAAGTACCACTGCATGTTCCTTCCCCCCCTTGAGACTTTCGGTGCTACTCTGCAAATGTAGGTAAACAGAGGTGAGGTATTTTCTGTAATGGAATTCCTAAAATCCAAAGGGATTTTCCATTCTAGTAAGAAAATACTCACCTCTGTTTACCATCCCTCCCTTTTAAAAAAAAAAAAAAAAATAGGACGAGCTATTACGTTACAGGGTCCTTTGTGGGCATGGGGCATGCAGTGGACAATGAGGGTGTGGCTTGGGCGCTATTCTTTTCAGCGAATGTTTGTGCGCATGCGCGCTGATATGCAAATGTAGGTAAACAGAGGTGAGTATTTTCTTACTAGAATGGAAAATCCCTTTGGATTTTAGGAAATTTACACCACTTTGTCTTCGCGCCTCTTTTTCTTTTCTTGTTTTCTTTTCTTTTTTTTTTGCTTTTCCAGGGGGCCCCCCTCGCTACGCCCATGCGAACTCGTCTCCAGAAGAGTGACGTCATCATGACATCATCAGGGGTCACGTGACACCATCTCTATTGGCATGATTGGTGCACATTTTAAGTTTCTATATCTAGAGAACCACAATTCCGATTTGGTTCAGATTTGGTATGAAGGGAGACCGGGATATGTTTTTAATAGGCGAAACATGATGTTACGTCACTATGACATGATCGTATGATTTGTAATGAAGTTATGAATTTTTGAACCTAATGCCATATCTCACAAACAGAACATGCTAAATTCTTTTTTGTAGTAGGAATTCTTGACATCATCATGTACATGTAGTCATCACAAATTAATGTTTGTGAGGTGCAATTTGAAACTATATACGGACGTCGAAAATCTGCAAGCCCCTCTTTGGCAGTGAACTTAAAATATCTCCAGACATAAGATCCTTTGTTTTTTCCCTCAAACTTCACAGATTCTATATGCATTAAAACACTTACACATTTGCAATCGGTTGATGTTTACGTTAAATGTTGACGCACCATCGGCAATGGACGCCGCCATGTGTGTTGGGTGTCATGACATACGACCTCCTATCTGATGTCTTATTGGACAGTTCACGTCACGTGGTACGATTGTGTCATACGCGGAGGATTTTTTTGAACTTAGCATGGTACGTTTTTGAACTTTCACAATGAACAAATAGTTCGCTTTTTCGAGTCAAATTATCAAAAACTGTAGGACGAAATGTGGAGAACTTCTACAATATCATTCTTATTTCGGTAGAACTGTAAAGAAAATCTAGACCCGTGATTGCTGGAGCGAAACGAATGAATTTTAACATCCAGCTGACGGCCTAAACGTTTAAGCCAGCAAAACATAACTTGATATGTTTAATATCGTGTGCTCGGACACTGTAATGTCATTGGTCGAAAACGGCTCCATGTCTAGTCTATAAAAACATACATACAATGGCTAACCTCATATGTACAATACATGTTGTGCATGTACGTATGGGACCTGTACACGTGCTGGACTGAGCTGCGTGCAATGCACATGCACAACCACTCAGTCTCACGTCCGGTGGGTAAGCCTGCAGTTTTCACTGGTTACACCGCACTGATTTTTAATATTTCTTGCATAGTAATTTACAAGCATTTATCATATTGATACTGATACAATGTAACAAAACAATTGTTTACTGATGCTGTGATGTGGGATATGCTGTTTTTAACCCCCTCAGGGTGCATAGCACCAGAGGTGAAATGCACACCTACATGTAGGGTGTTGTCATATCCCACATCACACCTGTCAACAATTGTTAATTGTAATTGAAGTCTGAGCTAGAAAGAGAAAAAGTAGTATGTTGTCAATTTGTTCACTTTGAACTGTAGGTGCTGTATGAAGTGTCAGTGGCAGTCAACTGTAAGGAAGCCCAGAAACCTGTCTGCAAAAACAAGAACAGATTCCCCAATGTACTTCCATGTACAGGTAAGTGCATTTTGTAGAAGTTAGTACACTTTTAAATAGACTGTTAGGTTGAAAAGGGGCCTCTTGAGGCAAACACTTGTTGGCACACTCACACTGCATTGCGAATTGTTCTTAATTGTAGGGGGACGGGTGCTGATGTAGTCAATGGAAAATCCCTTTCACAGCAGGGGTCTATTATATGCAAGCATATAATTATGGGTCACCAGTAACCAGTTATTGTCATGTACATGTAAACAAAACCAGACATGACATCTATTATGCTTTTACATTGTGAATTCTGTTAACAAAAACAGCCTGTGTCAAGCGGCCTGTATTGATATATTACGTGATGCGCGAATGTGACCTTGAATTATCATCACATCATATTTTAAATAACGCGCATAATGTGAATGCCCTCTTGCGCATTTATGTCTCGCCCACAATGAGAGTTTGCGTATGGTAACAGTTTTGAAAGCAAATGTCGAGTTTTATTTAGATCTCTATGCCTCTTGTTGTATTACAAAAACATGGTGTCAAAATTTACCAATCAACAGCTTAGTCCTGATTTCGGAATGAAATGATGTCATGTTGACTCTGATTGGCTGGCGCACGGGGTCGCATAAATTTGCATGTGTAAATGTATCAGACGTTGAACCAGAGACAGAGAGGGTGGTGCAACGGCTGATACTCAGACTAGTGTTAAGGCTTCCTTCACCATTTTGTATTTCAATGTATTAAAAAAAGAGTGGACTGCAACATAAGGCAATTAAATGGGTTGCTACCATTCACACCTTTTATTGGTTCGTAACTAGTTTAATTGTAAATATGTAGGGGACTGTTAAAACTTGATGTGACGTTACAATTCTTATTTCTTTATACCTTTCATTGGAGTAACTATGGGCCACGTGTCTCTCCCCCCCCCCCCCCCCCACTCCATTTGAAATCTGGAATTGCACACAACAAATGTATATGTTACCTTCCTTTGCCCCCCCCCCCTTCCCCCTTTCAAAAAAATTGGTGAAACCCCAGGTGCCCCCTAGAAGCTTAACCCTAGTTACGCCGCTGGTACCTTTAGAAAGTTCCAGATCACGTACATTTTACTCCCATAGAATGTGCGATATTTATT